CGGTGTCGAATCGTACTGTGGTCAAACGGAACACGCCCCTAGAGGGCACCTTCTTTTTCGGCGTAACTGATGGTGAAGGTCTTTACCGCCGACCTTACCCTTCGCAGGTGTAAATTCGCTCACGGCTCCTGCGGTGCAGGCTGTGGGTAACATGTCGTTGGATGACGACGGGAGAGAGTATAACCTTCTCTTGCCGGGACCTGGGAATCTGACCTCCCTGGTCCGGTAGACCTTGCTTCTTCTTACTACTTATTTCTCTATAAAATATAAGTGGTAGTTTAATTTTCGAGTTTTTCTTCTCCTAGGCCGGCTGCTTACACAGAGCTGACGAGCCCGGTTTGCCCGGATGTGCTCTTGGTCTGACCGTTCCCCGTGGACCTGCCCGGCAAGGGTGACCATGCCAGGAACCAAAGTTCCCGCCGGCATAGCTCCACAGATCAACACGGCGCTCAAGCTCGGAGTCTACGACAAGGTGGCACACCATCTTCCGAGAACCTATCTTTTATTTACGTAAGAGAAATCCATTACGCATATTCTGGCCTATGGGGGGGAGGACCAGGGTTCTGTAGGACTCCCTCCTCTCTCCCGCAAGAGAGAGGGATATACCCACTAAAACCACCAGGGTGTGTCCACTCAACCCATGGAAGGAAAGACTCGGAACCTCTTTTCGGAACTCTGCCGGGACCCTCCCCCCAGGGCTATGGATGGACATAGTCCACCACTCGGAAGAGGGATTATCTTTTCTCGCAAAAGCATCTTTAGATGCAACTGGCAACGCAGCGGGCACACACCCCTGCGCCGCCTCTACTTGGGGTTTTGTTGTGACAAGTCATGGCCTCTATCATCACTCGTCGGACTCCGGACGACAGCCAGGAGCCAGAGCGCGGGAAGCGGAAAAAGCTACACACCAAGGCCTTTAGCTGCCGCGTCCTCCTAACAAATCGCTTTTGCTGCACGGAAGAGAGAACGGGGGGACTCCCTCTAGCAGACTGGAGTTTACTTACGTACCTTCCTTCTTCTGCGGGAAGGAGGGCCTGGCCTCGCGACTGGGACAGGCTGGGCTAACCCAAGTCGCGGGGACACACGTCCGGCAACAGTGGCACAATTGCCACCGTGCCGACCGACACACTCTCCGGGACCTGATCCTCGCTGTCCAAGGACTTAGAGGACTTAGGTCCCGGCCTACTCTTTTTTTTCCTTTGTTCCGCCTTCTGGCGGGAGGAAGGAGGGGATCATTTTCATTTAAGGTGATGGGCGAAGACATTTATCGTTACCTCTTCTCTTAGGGACGGTATCCGGCTCCGCGTCCATTGCTTTCGTCATTTTCACCTCCGGGGCTGAGGGGTCTTTAGCCGCCCCCAGTTTCGTGCCCGCGACTCCTTTACCGCTCCTGGACGGAGCAATGACTGGAAACGCTGGGTCCTCCTTCATTGGCCCCATCTCATCCGAGGCGACATCTTGCCTTGGAGGTAGGGTTTTTTTAGCGGCAACACTGGACTCAGGGGGAAAAGACCCCACCGCCTTCGACCTCCGTTCGTCCTTGCTGCTACCAGTCGGAGAGGAGCGGGGGCAAGCCCTCTCCACCATCCGATGCCCGTCGAGCTTACCTACACCCGTGCAAAGCGGGCAACGGACCGGCGCCGTGCACCCCCGTGCTAGGTACGACTCACTGCCGCACCTGTAGCAGCACGGAGGCCGCTCCACTCTTGTGCACCGCTGTCTAAAGTGACCAAATTCTACGCAACAGTAACACTGCTCTGGGCAGGCCGCCAACGCCTTCACCGGCAACGTGACCCACCCAATGCACACCTACCCCGCGTTGATAACGCAACGCGCCGCCCGTAGCGGGAGATGCGCCCACACCGTTCCAATGTCCGCGGTAGTGAAACGGGGGTCACCCGCCCTAACTTCTTCCTGCAGGCAGACACCGTCTGTTGCCAAGGACGCCACGTCCTCCTTAAAAATCGAGGTGACCAGCCTTTTTACGCGAAGTTCTCCAAACTTCTGGGGTCTGGCCACCCAAACATTTTCACCAAAGAGAGTGGTCAGACTATCGGCTAACCGTGTTGCCGTAACTACTTTCCTTAGTACCATAAATACCAACCCTCCTGTCGCAGAGGGACGATGGCGCACCCCCGACATCTCTACATCTTCGACATTAAGTCGCGCCGTCTGCCGCAGCACCTCTAAGTATGTCAGGGTGCTGCCCGCGGGAATGGAGAGAGAGACTGCCGCCCTCGACAACACCCTCTCCATTACTGCTGCGCCTTCCTTCTTTTTCGGCCTTTGCCGACCAACCGAGGGCGGTGGGACCCGCAAACCACCACTCATTCTCGCACCGTCTCGTGCTCTCCCTCCCCTCCCCGAGTTCATGGTGCTAAAACCAAGGTTTGGTGACTGTGCCGACGCCCCTACGCGTCCGACGCGCAGACCGTGTCACCAGAGCCAGAAGCCCCAGCTGCAGATCTGGACACGCGTGAAGTAGGTAGTACGGAGTTACTTAAGGAAGCGGTGTTGAGCGCCCAGTT